TAGAGAGGGCCCCTTGGGACTTTGTCTGTGCCTTAGAAGGGGCTCTGATTAAGGGAGGTGTCTCAGAACCAGTGACTGTTGTGGACTGATGGGACATGCATGTCTGACATGAGGTCTCACCTAGCCTGGTCCTGGTGGGGGAGTCTGGAGAGATGGGGTGGCCTGGAGAAGGAAGCCTTCTGTCCAGGCACTGAAGAGCCTGCAACTCCCAGCTGTTATGACACTGAGGAGAGGGGCCTATGGGTGAGAAAGTGGGTGACTCAGAGCCAGGTTCCCCACAACCCTAGACAGGGGCCTGCGTGTCTCTGATGGCTGAGGCTGTGGGTCAGTTCCAAATGAATGTGATAAGGATGGAGGCGGATCGTACCTGATCACATGCCCAGGACTTTGTGCCATCCCAGAAGGGTGCATCCCTGCCAGTCTAGAGGGGCCTGTTCCAAGAGTGAGTGTGGAGGGGCCTGTGGAGTCTGTGGGGATGGCATGTGCTGTGAAGCAGTCACTCACTAAGGCCAAGCTGGAGAGCCGGTGGGGCTGTGAGCACAGTTAGATGCTGAGCACTGGGGTGGGTGTCAGGACAGGCAAATGGAGCTGGGCCACAGGTATAGAAACCCTGGGTCCTGGCTGAGCATAGTGCGGCCTGGAGCACTTGGGCAGAGAGAACCTGCATGAGGGTAGTGCTCATGCCTTGGCTGTAGATCAGCCTGAGGACAATAAACCCTGGGGGCTGTGATGATGGTGACCTGATACCCAGGTCCCCAGTGGCAGAAAGGAGAAAGTTCTACTGGCTGTATGCCTTGAGTTGACCACAGCAGGAAGCAAGTGGGGGACACTTCTGTTTATGGTGTGTGCTGGACCAGGAGATGATGCTGTGAGGTGTGAGTGTGAAAGGATTCAAGTTGTGATGTTTGTGTTCGAGGCAACCCAACAACTAAGAGTGCCATGTGGCCTAGGAAGCAAGTGTGTATACAAGGCAGACCCAGTGGCCCAAGGAGATGAGCCTTGACACATATGGTCCTGAGTCTGCTGAGGCTTGTGTAAGTAGGGACAGGGGTGAGCCATTTGTTCATGTTCCCTAGGGTGTGTACACAGTTGGGGTGTGCCAGACACAGAAGTGTGTGCTGGCATGCATTGCTGATAAGCATGTTCATTGAGGTCTGTCAATGTTGCTTTTAACTGTGCCCATAGGGCTCTACCTGCTGAGGTATACATGTGAAGGAGTGTGTGTACAAGTGTGTGTGTGTGTGTGTGTTGAGGTGTTTGTGTGCACAAGTATATGTGTATGTACTTGGATATGTGTGTGCATGTGTGTATGTATAAGTGTGTCTGCTGAAGGGTATATATACGCTGGGTACACGGGGATGTGTATGAACAGACATATAATGTGTGTATATATATGTATACATATGTATATATATATATATATATATAATGTCTGCTGGGGTGTATATAGTTGGTGTGTGCTGGGGTGTGTATACATGTGTGTTTGTGTATGCATGTGTGTATATACTTGAGTGTGTATCTAAAGGGGTATGTATTTGTGTGTGTATATGGGTATGTGTGAGCCATGGAGGTGTGCTGGGGTGTGTACATGAACACATTAGCTGTGTCTCCTCCCAGTCGCTGTGTGTACATGTTGGGGCATGGTTACCTGCAGGCTGCTCAGGCACAGGACGCTGTAGTTTGCCTCTGTGGAGAGCCACAGGAAGGGTCAGACAGAAGACAGCGGGGTTCAGGGCACTAGGAGTCTGTTCTTCAAGGGGATGACAAGGACAGCTATGCTCAGCATGTGTGAAGTTGGGCAAATGCAGATATCATTCAGGGGTGAGATGCCGTCTGTAGTCCTCTCCTCAGTTTGGGACATTTAGGCTTTACCCACTGCTGGTTGAAGGTTGTCTGCTGTCCCCTGGGAGTGAGCTACCGGCATCCCCAGTGTTCCTGCAGGCTTCATCTTCTTAAGACCCCCCCCCAGGGTGATCTCAGGATGACCGGGCTATCAGCTACCCTCTCGACTTGTCCAGGCAGCTCATCCTGGAGGAAGGGTGTCTGGTGGAGGCATGTTTGGGAAATCACTGAGGTTGCCCCTTCCCGGCAGCCTCTGATGAGTGTGAGGCTAAATTGAGATGTGAGAATTTTCCCTCCCTAAGCATTCTCACTTCCCCTTCTCTCAGGCCTGCCTGCTCTGGCCTCCCCCTCCATCCCTGCTGCCCTCTGAGCCTTCGCCACCTCCCGCTCCCACACTCTCCAGCCCTGTGGGGGAGCTGCAGCTCCTGGGCCTTAGCTATGGAGAATATGGTCGTCATGGCAACCGTTGTCATGTCAATGGCTACTGAGCCAGGATGAATAGTATCTAGGTGAGTGCTACCTGAGTGGAGGCTGATGGGTTCATGAGAGGCTATATGCTGCTTTCTGCGCTCAGAGCTGCATGGAATCCCCCATTTCGATGCTCCCAAAGGCATGCCGGCATGCTGCCTTCAATGGCTGCCTCTAGGTGAGTGTGTGTTGGTGCATGTCTGTGTCTCCAGCTGTGTAACTTTCAAGGTCTCTGTGGCTTTAGAGCTGTTTCTGGGTTTATGCAAGCCCTTCTGGAAAAAGTATTGGTGGCAGGTCTGTCATGTTGGCCACTGAGGAACCTTGAGTCCCCCCATTTTGGCTCTTATATTCGCTCTTGTTTTGGGGTCCTTGGAATGACAGATCTCTTAAAATGTTCCTTCCCAGCCTGCCTCAAAGAAAAGAAAGACATCCCTGCTTAGTCCCCATCCTGCTGTGACATTAGGCTTCTGGCTGGACAAGCCTTCAGGGGACTCTGTCTTGTAGAAGCATGTGGCTCCTGCAGCCCCAGGACCTGGGTGGGGAGTGTGTGCTGGGCAGAGATGAGAGCTGGCAGATGATGATGGGCTTGCTCTGAGCTCCTGGGATGTCTACAAAGGAGGAAGACCCAGTGATTAGTCACGGGGGCAATTACACTAATTGTTCTATCCCGTGACTCACTGTTAGAAAGTAAATACTGATTAATTCATTACATTCAGAAGTGTGTGTGTGTGTGTGTGTGTGTGTGTGTGTGTGTGTGTGTGTGTTGTATGAGGGGTATCTCCTGGCTTCCTGCCCTAGCCGGGTTGGCTGGGGCTCTGGAGCAGGTGCTGGGGGCTGGGGGCTGGCAGCCAGGACTAAGATCCTCTCTTTGGCTTTGTGTGAACTCTAGAAGGGCCCATGAGTGACAGGGGTGTGAGATGCTGAGTGCAAAGTGCCGTGCCAACCTAGTTCCTTCCTTGCTCACACAGCTTCCATGGCTCCCCACTGCCAGCTGGGGCAGATGCCCAGGCACTGCCTGATCCCTGGGATCAGCTTTCATTTTCCCGTGTAACTGCTCTGGAAAATGATTGACTTCGAAAAGAAACCCACCCCCTGGCTAGACACCTGGCCCTCTGTGACCAGCCTGGTGACTTCTCGGCCCCACCTCCAGCCATCCCAGCTCCCAGGCTGCCCCAGAATTAAACATGTCTCCTAACTCCAACTCCATCCTGAGCCTGTCTACTCAGTACCAGGAACCTTGCTAGGCGTGCATCCCCTCAGCATCAGTACTTCAAAGCAAAACTGCTCCTGAGCTTCAGGCAGCATCATGACTTGGGAGCGTGGGATGCTTTTCCAAAGAAGTAACACTGGAGGTGGGAGTGGGAAGGGTGCTGTAGGCAGAGAGACCAGCATGATTGAGAAGAAATGAGGGACCAGGGGATGGGGAGGGTGCTGGTGAAGCTGCAGGGCAGCTGGGCCAGCCCAAAGTGGGCTGCTGCATTGACCAACCCCAGGGAGTGTTCAGTTTCCCTTGCCTATGGCCTTTCTCTCTGGATTCCATTCCTAAGTTGTAAATGCTCCAGGCTTGGAATTTATATCAGGAGCACCCCTCAGGAGCTCTTGGGGTGGAGCAGTGGCCTGGGGCAGTGGCCAGGGTACACAGCACATCAAGGCCACTTAGGGAATCTACATACTTGTCTTTAAGGTTCTTAGTGCTGGCTCCAACGATGGGCTTTTTTGTTTGATTTGCTTTTGTTTTTCTGTAGCTTTGGAGCCTGTCCTGGAACTTGGTCTGCAGACCAGGCTGGCCTCAAACTCACAGATATCCACCTGCCTCTGCCTCCCCAGTGCTGGGATTAAAGGTGTCACCACCACCTGGCCCCCCAACTATGGGCTTCTAAGGAGAGGGTACAGTTAGAGCTGGGAGTTCCAGCTCCAGGCTTCCTAGGTTCTGACTCTGAAGGGGCCTTAGGCCTGGGGGGGTCTTTGGAGAAGCCTGCTGACCCCTGGAAGTAGAAGTATGATGGACCCTGTTGATCTGTGGGGCAGGCCAGGCAGGAGCTAACTTTCTGTGAGGGGCAGCCTCCTCTCCCTTACCCTACCTACTCTAGCGCTTCTTTCCTGGGCCCCAAGCCTCTTCAGCACCCACACCTGTCTACCTTCTTGCCTTTGGCAATTTGGGGTACCATTTGGAACCCAAACCTCATTTCACTTCTAGCCCTCTGGGCAGTGAAGTCTATAAGTTGGGCTGGTGCCTGCCGCCTTCCCAGTCCATCTTGAGGACCCAGTGGGATCTTGTCTGTGGGCACTGTTCACACAGAGGTGACAGTGGACCTGTGTTGAGTTTGCAGTGTGCCAAGATATTCTTGGGACTGTGCTCCATAAGGGAGCCACTTTGTGTTTATTAAATGCACAAACTGAACACAAACAGAATGAATAAATAACCTGCCCATTTTGCAAGCAACCTGTCTTGGCTTCAAACTCAGCATTGTGCCCTCTGAGCCCATCCTGTGTCAGGGTTCCCATTGCTGGGGGGTAGAGAGGGGCAGCCAGTGGTTCCTAGTGGCTTCTGGCTGGCAAGGGCAGGTGGGAGGTGGCCATCGGCTCACACCCAGCTCTCTGTAGCACATATGGGTCAATATGCCCATGAATGTGCCTATATCAGCCGCTGCTTTGGGTGCCCAGTCCTGTACCTGTCTGCATCCTCCCAGGCTCAACGCTGGCGCAGCGAGAACTTTGAGAGGCCTGTGGACCTTGAGGGCTCAGGGGACGACGACTCATTTCCTGATGATGAACTGGACGACCTCTACTCGGGGTCAGGCTCCGGCTGTAAGTAATCCCCCGGTCTCCCTGCCTGTCTCTGGCATCCGGCACCAACCCAGAGCCCTTTAAGGCCACTTGAGTGAGTCTTGTCACTGTATGGCAGTCAAGACCTCAAGGAGAAGGGCTGAGCATCCTCCTGGGAGAGAGGAGGCTAGGGAAGCCTTCAGAGCCGAGGGCTCTTGTGTCTGTGTGTGCAGTCTGCTGTGGCTCCTGCCCTCTGGACTCTGCACTTATTATATATGGAGGGCCATGGGACGTCTTCTGCAGGGATGACTTTTTGACCCAGTCTGGAGCAGGTGGCCTCTTGGGTCCATCAGTGGCCAAGCTCAGGGTGAGGGTAGGGCTACACCCTTATCTTATCCTTCCCCGAATCATTTATGCAACCTGGGAAATGCCCCACAAGAAGGCCTTATCCCCTCTGGCCCTCTGCTTTATGTCTGGGAGGTGGGGTGACTCAGGGTCCCTACTCCCTTGAGTTTGTCTGGGGCATGTCCATGGCTCTGGCCCTTCCCAAGAGGCCAGGCCTTGTTTTCTTGTAATCCTGAGTGGAATTCCAGACAGAGGCTTTAGTCACCAGTTGCTAGGACTCAGAGCTAGCTGTCAGAGTCAGGGCAGGCTGCCTGGAAGTGGAGGGCCTCTCGAGGATTTTGGCTAGCTCATCTCTCCTATTTTCCTGGGGAAACAGGTTAGTGAGGGATGTACTGCTGGGAAAGCAATGCCTGCCGGGGGATCTGGCGGTGAGGAGTACCCACTCCCCAGGGCTCTCCCTCTCCCCACCCCCCAGACTTTGAGCAGGAGTCTGGCCTGGAGACAGCCATGCGGTTCGTCCCTGACATGGCCCTGGCTGCACCCACTGCGCCTGCCGTGCTACCCACGACAGATATTCAGCCCGTGGACACCTCGTTTGAGGGGCTCCTTTCAGAGCACCCCAGCCCGGAACCAGTTACCAGTCCCCCTCTGGTAACAGAGGTGACAGAAGTCCTGGAAGAACCCAGCCAGAGAGCCGCCACCATCTCAATCACCACATCTACCACCGCTGCCACCACTACAGGGGCCCCTGCTATGGCCACAGCACCTGCCACAGCAGCCACTACTGCCGCTAGCACGCCTGCGGTACCCCCTGCCACAGCCACCACTGCTGACGTAAGGACCACCAGCATACAGGGGCTGCTGCCTCTTCCCCTGACCACGGCTGCCACAGCCCAGGCCACCACCCCAGCAGTACCCTCACCGCCAACTACTGTGGCTGCCTTGGACACCGAGGCCCCGACACCTAGGCTGGTCAGCACAGCTACCTCGAGGCCACGAGTCCTTCCTCGGCCAGTCACCACCCAGGAGCCTGATGTTGCTGAGAGGAGTACCCTGCCACTGGGGACCACTGCTCCTGGACCCACAGAGGTGGCTCAGGTGAGGACCGTGGGAGAGGGCATTAGTGCAGAGTGGACAGGGGTGGGGTGGGCAGGGACCAGGAGGTGCCAGGGGTGAGCCAGGCAGAGTAGGTCTGGTGTATGTGCTGGGTGTGAGCTTCTGCATGGGGGTGGGGGAGGTCAGAGAGGCAGGGCGGGTGGGATGTGGCTGCTATTGAGCCAAGACACCAATAGGAGAGAATTAGGTGGACTTGTTGGGGTGGAGTTGGGGATGTCTGGGTGGGCCTGGCTGTGACTTCAGACCAAGAATAGTATTAAGAGATTGTCGGGCATGCCAGGGCATGCTGGCACATACCTTTAATCCTAGTACTCTGGAGGTAGAGGCAGACAGATCTCTGTGAGTTCGAGACTAGCCTGGTGTACGGAGTAGTTCCAGCCAGTGCTACCGTAGTGAGACACTGTATCAAAAAAATAAAACAACAACAAAACCCAACCAAACAAAAACCAAAGAAAAGAATAAAAGAGAGGTTATCGTCCTGGATTTAAATCCTCTGCCATCTTTTTTCTTTCTTTTTAGTCTTGAGACATTAGCTGGTGGCTGGTCCTTTCTATCCCTCTTTATCTTTGAGAGAAAGACCAGAGAAGGTAGTAGGTGTGGTGGCAGCACTCATAATCCTAGCACTGGGGAAGCTGGGGCAGGAGGATTGCTGCAAATTGCTTCCCTAGCACTGAGTAGCCTGGATTACCCAGTGAGACTGTTTCGGAGACAGAGACAGAAAGACAGGGAGAGAGGTCTGTCGTTTGCAAATGGCATTTCTGACACTGAACTGTTCTTAGAATCCTGGAACAGTAAACGAACCAGCTGTTGTCACTGTCATTTTCGCCATGGTTGTTGTCATCCTCATGGCCTGAGGGTGCCTGAGTGGGTGCAGTGGGGAGCACCTGGCTGCCAGGTGCATGGCACTTTGCCTACCTCTGCCACCCCCACCCCTGTCCATCATAGTGAGGCAGAGAAAGGCATTTTATCTAGGTTCCTCGGGTGGTAGTTGAATCAGGGTTCAAACCTGGCTGGGGGCTCCTGAAGCTGGGGGTCCTGAAGCTGGGGGTCCTGAAGCTGGGGGTCCTGAAGAAGGGGCTCTTGAAGAAGGGGCTCCAGACAGGGCCAGGGTTAGTCTGGAAGGGAAGAGCAGGGTGAGGGTCACTGTGGGAGGGAGACCCTAGGGGACTGCAACCTGGCCCATGCATGTGCACCATGGATGTGCATAGAAAGCCCGGTGTGGTGGCACAGGTCTATGAGTCTAGAACCTGGGCGATGGAGGCAGGGAGATTAGAAAAAGCTGAAAGTTGTCCTTCCTTGTGTAGCCTGTTCTAGATCAGCCTGGGCTACGTGAAACTCTGGCTGGACAAACAGTATGTGTGCACTAGGCTGCAAGGGGACACAGTGACTACCCACAAAGCACCCTGCCATCAACCTCACAGTGGCCCTGGGGCTGTGGAGTTACCCTTGGAGCCCTGCAGTCCCTATCAGGCCCCAGCTAGCACCATAGGACACAGGCCTGGGCCCTTCCTTCAGAGAGGGCCTCACAGGAAGGGGAAACAATGGCAGGCTGTGGAGCCCAGAACCAAGAGCAGGTGTAGGCCTGTGTGAGGCCTGCCCTTGCCAGACTCAGGCCCACCCTGGTCACACCCTCATGAGGGCAGCTGTGGCCCCACACACCCCCAGCAGCTTCCACAGCCCAGCTTTTGCCTCAGTTCCCAGCTGCTCTCTGCGGTGAGGAGCTGTACACTGTGGACACAGTTGCTTTGGGCACAGCAGCTCATATTCTGCAGGTTTGCTCACGGACTGGCTTGCAGGTTAAGGGATCTACTTCTGTGTGGGAAGAGAGCCAGGCTTAGCAGACCCCAGACAACTCCTGCTCCTGGACAGGAATCCACCAAGGATTGTTGTAAGGAAGCTAGAGAGGAAGTTATGGGGACAGGATGGGGACAGGATGTGACCAGCCTGACAACCGTGGTTGGAAGCACAGACTCTGGAGTCAGATAGGTGTAGATTTGTGTGTTCGTGAGAGAATCACATAACTTCTCTGGGTCTGTTTACCACCGTAAATTGAGGGTACCAATCCCTTCTGAGTGCCACCCCACCTGGTGGAACTGTGGTATAGACTTGAGAGTATGGCTCTGTGGGAGTACTTGGTCTTAACCCCAGGTCACACCGCCCTTTCTGCAGACCCCGACTCCCGAGTCCCTTCTGACCACCATCCAGGATGAGCCAGAGGTGCCTGTGAGTGGGGGGCCCAGTGGGGACTTCGAGCTGCAGGAAGAGACCACACAGCCCGACACAGCCAATGAAGTGGTGGCTGTGGGAGGAGCCGCAGCAAAGCCCTCACCTCCACCAGGGACAATGCCCAAGGATGCCCGCCCAGGCCCTGGCCTCCACGACAACACCATCGACTCAGGCAGCTCGGCTGCACAGCTTCCTCAGAAGAGCATCCTAGAGCGGAAGGAGGTGCTCGTAGGTAAGGCCAGGCTCCAGGCCTGGATCATGGCAGGGCATGGGGTTGCTGAGAAGGGAGAGCAGGGGCTTTATCCCAGAACCTCTCCTCCCATTCCTCTCTCTATCTTCCTTCTCCCCAGTAGAGTCTGTTCTTCTCTCTCTCTAGAACTTTCCTTATACCCTCTGACCCTTCCTTAGACTCCGACTTTGGAGTCACCCCGATTGACCCTGTGGGACTTTTTTCCCTGGGTGCTAATTTCTGACCTGATTTTTGGCTTGACCTTTGACCCAGCTTGATCCAAGCTTACCCTGGATTACCTACTGAGGTTCCCATCTCCTCATGGAGACAGTGGGAAGCTGTTCTAGCAGTGTTGGGGGAGGGATCTTTCCTTCCTTAATGGTTCTAAGGTATCATCTGACAGCCCATGATACTCGGCTCGACACTGACCAGGACCAGGGCACCTGCCTCCCTCCTAGGGATGGTATGACCGGTCAGTATATTGAGCCATTGGAAAGGAGTTGGTGATAGTAGGTGGTACCAGTACTGTCCTCTCTGACCCCAGGTCCAGGATCCCTAGCCTGCTCACACCCACACCCTAGCCTGCTCACACCTAGCTCACTAAGCTGCCTCTGGGGGATTTGACGTCTGTCTCTTTCTCTACAGCTGTGATCGTGGGTGGGGTGGTGGGCGCCCTCTTCGCCGCCTTCCTGGTCACACTGCTCATCTACCGCATGAAGAAGAAGGACGAGGGCAGCTACACCTTGGAGGAGCCCAAACAGGCGAGCGTCACGTACCAGAAGCCTGACAAGCAGGAGGAGTTTTATGCTTAGCAGAGCCACAGTGCCTCCTGCAGCCACCTTGCTCAGTCCCTGGCCCCTACAACAGCCCAGGCCTGGGAAGGAGCCTGGCCCTGCTTCCTTCTGCCCAGGCTGCTAGTATAACACAGATGGTCCTAAGGAACAGGGGCACTACCATCTGCCCCAGACTGTGCCCTTATGAGCTCTTCTCTAGTCCTACTCCCTCCAGCCTGGGGCTTCAGGATCTTGTGTCCCATGGACAACAGGAAGGAAGCCCTGGGTTGCTAGAATAAACAGGGCCAGGGCCAGGGCTAAGATGGCCCACAGTGCTTGCTGATGTCCTCTTCTCGCTACAGAGGCCACCATGCTAGCTTCCCGTACCAATACATGGCACATTTAGTCCCCTAAATCAAAATCATCCAGATGCTGCAGCCTTGAGCTGCTGTTCCAAGGTCTTTCTGGACATGAGGGTGTCCTTTGTCACCAGCCTGAGCTCTTTATGGGGTCACTGTCCCCTCTCCCCTGCCCAATGCACTTGTCCCCAGGCTGCACCTCTTTCTGCATTGCCTCCCAGGGAAAGGGCTTCCTCAGTGCATAGGGCAGCCAGTGGCGAGGGAGGCCGCTCTGGTATCCCTCTTGAGGGGATGCCACATAGCCTCTGTCAACCACTGCTATACATCTGTTACATGTTCACACAGGAGACAAAAACATACCCAGTGTCAACCACCCAGCCAGTGAAACATCACACCCATGCACCTCCTTCACACAGTGCTGAGACACCCTGATGCTTCCGCCATGCAGGCCACTGTCGTCATCGCCAGTGGTGATCATGCCACCTTCCTCCCACTCTGTCTCTTTACACACATACTTTGGTCCTGCACCTGGCTCCTCTAACCATCTGGGTCACAGGGGAAGGCAGGGCCAAGTTGTAGACATCAGCCCATATTGGGTCCCCCAGAGTCACCCTATTCCACTTGGTCCCCACCATGACACCTACACCAGCCGCACTGACGCTGATCCCAGTTGACATCAGACACAATCCCACACAGATGCAGTCTCCCTCCTCACTGTGGCTCACAGAAAGGGAGGTTTGGGGCTAACCCCCACCAGCCAAGTCTGAAGAAAGAAGGCTTGATGCCCCAAGCCAGGCTGAAGGCTGGGAAGGGAGCCAGGATCTCCCAGGACCAAGGAGCTGTGTGGGTTGTCCCTGGTCTCCGTGTATCTCCTTTCTACTCTGAGCCAGGAGCTGTCTCTGCCTCCCAGGACACATGTCTCCAAAGTGCCTGTGAGGGTGGGCCTCCGCCCAGGCCCTCTGTGTCCCCTGCCCTGGCCTGGTGAGGCCAACCTCAGGCCTACCCACCCTGTGTCCTCCCTATGGACATAACTGACCAAGCAACTTGTCAGTTCTGGCTACAACTGGGTGATCATGACAGGCTCATCCTAATGCTGTAGGCCCTGAGAAAAGTTGATGGGGACAGGGGTGTCACAGGCCCCAAGTCTACCTTCCTGTCTTTGTTACCTTTAGAAGTGGGGTCGTTTCAGAGATATTTTAATGTTGGGATCACCATTCTCTTTTGGGGGAGGGGGTATGCGTGAGAGCTGTCAGCACCAAAAAGGCAGACCTTAGGTTATGATTGGCCGGCTCCCCACACCCCCGTCTCTCACACATGTCCCAGGTTCAGTCAGGTGACCACCTGTTATTTCTGTTTCATTTTTAAGAGTCCTCAACAGCAGACTTGGCCAGAATGAGGATCCACATCTGGGCAATGGAGGCAGTACCTAGGCAATCAGTATAGCTTGTCTTTCTGGGCTGGGATGTGTCTCACTGTCAGGCTCCGCTCTGTCTTCCAGACCCTATGACTCCCTTGATGGGGCTTAGAGTTTTGTAAGGACAGCAGCTGGCCCAGAATTCGAGGAGGGAAAGGGGTGAGAGTCCTAGGCCCCTGGAGGAGGGAGCCTGGCCAAGGTCTTCCCAGAAGCAGGAGAGCTGGTGCCCAGTTGCTACCCCTGCTCCCTGGTGTGCTGCTCTCCTGGGGACTGGAGCTTTGGTGGGGAGGCGTGGGAGATGGGGGAGACGGCCTCCAGGTGCTCAGCCCATGGGGACACCAGCACCAGGGCAGGAGACCCCAGCTTCTGTGCTGGGTTGGAACCCACTTGTCACATCTCAGGGTGGCGCTGGCCTTGGGGCTGTGGGTTTGGCCTCCTGATGGCAGCACTTTTCTGTGTCCTCAGCATTTGAGAGAAGAGGCTGTGGGCCTTGTGTATGGGGCACAGGCCCCAAGGCCAATGTCTAGGCTTTGTGCCCATGAAATTTGACCCGAAGGTTAACGGTGTGAGCAGCCCAGATACACTGGGCCAGCATGATGAGGCCAGGACGATTTAAGAGAGCTCAGTTCAAAGGGTGAACTGAGGCTCTTCCTAGTGCAATGCAGGTGCAGGATCCCCACCCTGCCCCAGAAACAGTGCGGTACATGCAGAGCCCGCCCAAATGACTCCAGAGACACCTGCATGCTCCTGGGCAGGTGTTCAGGACACCGGCATGCCTGGAAGCATAGTGCTTTCTGAATGAGAGGAGTTGATGTGTCTCGGACCTTTCCAGGCCCTGGTTTCCCAAGAGAGCAAGACATGCTGAGGCCAGAGAGCCGCAAAGCGAGGCTTTGTCTCTCTTGGGGGGCCAGATTAGGGACTCTATGTGCAAGGTTGATCACTTTTAATTGCCAGAGGCATGTGTGGATGACAGCCAGGACTGGCTGGCTGGGCAGACCTTCAGCAAGAGGTTAAGATGCTGGCCTCCCGGCTGGGGCTTCCACAGAGGGCGGAGCCAACAATGCTTTTGGGGCAGGGTAGGTGGCTGCCTAGACTGACCTTGCTTTCCCCTGGGATGTGCCTCCCTAGCCTTGGTGTCTGTAAATAGAAGCCCACACTGTACAGATTTTCAGAGATGCCCAAAGTGGGCATCACTTGGAGTCACCATCTGAGGGGCTGGTGGCCTGGCCTCCCCCAAGTGCCCTTCGGGTGCCTGGGTGTGCCTGGCCCTAGCATGGTGAATGCATGTAAATACTTTTCGTAGACAGTGTGGCTCCAGAGAGCCCCCTGAGACAGTGCCCCCCCCCGCCACTGGTTCATTCTCTCTTCTGTACAGAGCCCTCCCAGCCCCCAGGCAACTAGGAATGGGGGTTTCCTCCCCTCCCCAGGCTCCTCCTACCCTTTCTTTCCCTATAACCTGTTTATTAACCATCCCTGCCCTGAGTTCATGGCCAAAACTTAAATAAGAAATGGAGGAGAGACAGTTGGATAAAGATACCAAGGCCCTGTCCACCCCACCATGGGTGCTCACCCACCCCTGCCTTGGGAAGGATGCGGCTTGCTTTGTTTTGTTTTTTGTTTGTTTTGTTTTTAACATTTCCCTGTGCTGTGCCCATTTATAAGAGGAAATAAAATTAAGCTAAAAAGATGCTGTGTGGTCCACATGTGAGATGAAGAATGAATGGGTCGCCTGGGAGGGACAGGCATGTTCATCTTGGCCTTAGCCACTGTCCCTTTAGGGAGCTGGAGAATTACCCAGGGGCCGTGGATTAGTGTCATGATGGGAGCCTTGAGGTGAACGCTGTGGTTGGCTGAATGGTGATGAGCGTGGTGGTGTGTGTGTGTGACTGTGGTTGGGTGGGGGTTGTGGCTCAACCCTGGGGGACACTTCAACTTCAGGCCGCAAAGAGAATGTCAGCCTATAGGATGCGGAAAGGAGCCGTGCTGACTGGGCCTTTGGACCCTGATACGCTCATTCTCAGCCTCTGGCTCTGGGCAAGCCCTTGTGCTCTCTGTGCCAGTTTCCCTAGCCACAAAGGATGATCATGTGTCCCCCGTGGAGTGGGTAAGAGCCCCGTGAGGAACAGCTCAGCCCAGTGCTCCCCCTGGCTAATTTACTCATGGTCTTTTTGTAGACAGTGCAGGAAGAGTGGGGGCTAGAGACCTCACGTTTCTGTGGCCTGGCTCACCAGGCATAGAGCCAGGCAAGGGCTCGTCTAGCCTCTGATGCGTACAAGAGCCAAGAAGCATGGTGCCTGTACAGCCAGGCCCACTGCTGTGCTGGGTTACTGTCGCCATTATTCATGCTCCATCGGGGACATACTGTACGCAGGGCTGTTTTGCCCCAAGGCAGGAGATAGATGATAGGCATGGGTGCCTCATCACAGTCTGCCCTTCTCCAGGGGAGCCGCCTCATGGCTCATGAGTTTTTCCTCAGGAGATGGGACACCATCTCTGATAGGTTGGAGACTAAGGCCTGGGGTCTGGCCCCTTTTTCATGCCTCTCTTTCTCTTTGCCCTTTCCACTAAAGGTTCTCAAAATATCTACTCTGGACTTGGCTAGTGCTTGGGTTTGGGAGCCAAGAGACAACCAGGAGGGGCCTGGAAGATGGCCTAGTGGATAAAGCACTTACCAAGCAAGTGCAAGGATCTGAGTTCAAATCCCAAGAATTCAGATAAAGCCAGTTATGGCTTTATCTGTCGTCTCCACACTTATACGATGGAACATGCAGTGGAAATGGAAGTCTCTGGATGCTTATGGGCCAGCTAGCCTGGTATACTCAGCAGTAAGCATGACACCTTCCCAAACAAGATCAAGGCACTACCACCTGAGGCACCACACACCACACACACACACACACACACACACACACACACACACACACACACACACACACACACACACACACACACACACCACACCACACACACACACACACACACCACACACACACACACACACACACACAGGCCACCAGGACAGGCTTCAAAAGGCCTACTGAGGAGATGAGCCATAGCCAAAGTCAGACTGTGGGACCACTAGCCTGGCAGGTTTCCCTCTGCTGCCGTCTCTACCCACTCCCAGCTCACTCACTGCATGGTCATCCTAGACAACTCCCCAGGGCCCATGGCCTCCCTTGGGGGGAACTTCAGGTGGCTCATTTCCAGGAGCCTCCCTCAACATAGCTGTAAAGTCCTCACAGAGCACTGGGCAGGCTGCACGGCGAGAAAAAAAGCCTGCTCTGTTGCAAGGGGCTGGTTTCTGAAAATACAGAGCCAAGTCCATGGAGCTATTCCTCCAGGAAGCTTCTGGAAGATGAATCTTCCTGGCTTTAAGTTTCTTTAGCCCACTACCTCCCCAGCACTCGCTCCCCTGTACCATCACCCCTGCACTGCATTTGAGCAGTGAACACTCATTTATTCTCAGCTTGGCAGAGGAGCAAGCTCAGTCTTGGAGCAGCTTTGTGTGCTCTTGCACACTGTTCCACCTCTCTGAGCCCAGAGTCCCTTATGTGCACAGGGAGGACTGTGTGTGGGGGCCGCGTTGAAGGTCCTCGGATGTAAGGATCTAAAGTGGCTGACTGGAGCCTGGGCCTGTGGCCACGGGCAATGGGACTTGAATTGCTCCCTGCAGTGGCAGTCAGGCTTTTTGTAGATCCAGCTCTGCTGTGACTAGAGCTATGTGACATGAGCAAGTTGCTTCAACTCTAGGGGTCAGTTGTCTCTCCTGTAAAGTGGAGAGTGTAGGGGTCATCTGGTGTACACAGTGCTCAAACCATCTTACATATGGAGAAGACATGGGACAGGTGCCTGTGACGATGATAGTGTTGCTGCTGATGCTGGTGCTATGGTGATGAAGACAATGGCAGCGATGATAGTGATGATGCTGATAATTGTGATGATTTGATAGTCTTTTTTATGCAGTCCAGGCTGGCCTTGAACTTGTGGCAGTCCTCCTTCCTCAGCCTGTCAAGTGATGAGTCACCAGAGTCTACCACTATGCCTGGCTAGGCCTGGCATACTGTCTCCTGAGTGAATAAATGACTCTGACCCTGGGCAGCGGTCAAATGCCAATGTTTACTGTGGTGCAGACCTTGACTTGGGCCCATGAGACCCGAGGTCCATCTAGAGCCCCACCCATTTGTAAGCCACACAGTGGGCCTCCCCTCTAGGCCTCTGGATGAGTAGCAAAACTGAAGGAGAGGGAGGAAGAATGGCTGTTTGTTTCTGGAAGTCCAAGAGGTCACAGAGGCCAGCCCGAGCCTCCTTGGGAACACAGTGTGCTCAGCTTCCGGAGGCCACCCACCTGGTTTCTGCTGGGCTGAGGGTGGGCTGCGGGCCATGTGAGGGTCCAGACTGCTTGTTGTTGGAGCCTCGACCCTCTGTGGAAGGACCGAGGCTGGGCCCGCTTTGGGAATGGAAGAATTGGGTTGAGGATGGGGAAAGGATGGAAAGGCGAAGAGCCTAGGTCAGGCTCCCAGTTTCCGTTTTCCTCCCACGCGCTCACTCCACTGCAGTCTATGCTGTCCCTGCAGCATGCATCTGCACAAGGAGAAACTGAGGCTCCGAGAGGGTGGAGGGGACCCAGGCCTGTGCTCAGCTCCTTCTAGCGGACCACCCCCATCTCCTCCCTCTATTGGCAGCCCACTGTGTGAGTGTGGGCGTGTCACTAAGCATCTCTGAGCCTCAGCGGCTTCCGAGCCACAGAGGCAGTGGGTGTGATTGAAAGGCTAGAAAAAAAAAAAAAAAAAAAGAAAGAAAGAAAAAGAAAAAGAAAAAACACAACACGCGACAACACAGGGGCTTTCCCCTTGTTAGTGCCCACCCACAGGCTCTGTCCGGGTAGTTCCTGCACAGAACTGTCACTCTCATCTTACAGCAAACGTTCTACCAAAGTATCCACTTTCCTCAATAAATCATGTATTAAAAAAAGAGAAATAAACTCAGAATGTATATAAAATGTACACATACATATTTATTAAAATTGGGGGATCTGGGTGATAGTCCGGATAGGGCTTGTCTTACAAGGATGAGGGTCTGAGTTCAACCCCCGGGAACCCAGAAAAGAGGCCAGGCATGGTGGGGTGCACTTGTAATCCCAGTGCTGGGGAGTTGAGGCAGGTGAATCTCTAGGGCTCAGTAATAGACAGTCTGGCCTGATTGGTGAACTCCAGGCCAATGAAAGATCCTGTCTCAAAGGAGATGGACAGCATTCCTGGGGATGGACACACTTCCCTGCCCCTCCCTCCCCTCTTCCCTTCCCTCCTTTCTTTCTTGTGGTGTGTGCATGAATGCATGTGTGTGTGCTTGCCTGTGCATGTGTGTGTGGAAGCCAGAGGTTGGTGTCAGGTGTCCTCCTCTGTCACTTTCTCTCATGATTTAAAATGTTCTGCATTATTTATTGTGCGTATTTGTGTGTGTGTGTGTGTGTGTGTGTGTGTGTGTGTGTGTGGCGGGTGTGTGTGTGTGTGGCGGGTGTGCACATGTTCCATGGTGCACATGGAGAGGTCCAGGACAACTTAATGAGAGCTGGTTCTCTTGTTCTACTGTGTGGGTACTGGGGATTGAACTTGGGTTGTCAAGCTTGGCAACAGGAGCCTTTACCTGCTGAGACATCTTGTCAGACTTCCTTCTTTATTTTTAAAGACTGTCTATCTATCTATCTATCTATCTATCTATCTATCTATCTATCATCTTTGTGTATATATATTATGTCATAATTACCTATCAACTCTGTATGTATCTATTATCTGTTTATCATCTATGTAAGTATGTGTGTATGTATCTATCCATCACCCATGCATCTATTATCTATCTACCTACCTACCTGTCTGTCTATCCATCTATGTATGTATGTATGATCTGTCTATCATCTATCTTTTTTTTTTCTTTCTCTCTCCCTCTCTCCTTGAACCCAGGACCCACCATATCAGTTAGACTGGCTGGCACTGATCTCTGGAGATCTACTTGTCTCTGCCCTCTGCTCACTTTCAGTGCTGGGTTACACATGTGAGCTTTTATGCTTGCTTTTTGTGTGAGTGCTGAGATCCAAACCATCTCACTAGCTTTAATATATATATATATATATATATATATATATATGCATGTATGCATGCATGCATGTATTTAATGCACACATACTCATGCACACACAGCCTTAAGCAAACACTCTACCAACTGAGCTGAGCTGCATCTCATCCTATGTTTGTATTTTAACTTGTCCATAAGAGAGTTCTATTTTTTTTTTTTTTAACAAGGAACAAATTAGTTCCCAGGGTCCACAGGGAGCTGAAGGTGGGGCTGCTTACCCTCTGTCCCTGCCATCACTCCCCAATGCCATACTGCCATCAACTTTATACCATCCTTTCCAGTTGGTCAGCACCTCTGCGGCCCTATTCTCATCCCATGTAAGAAAAGCAACCCTGGGGCTGGCCTCTGATGATGGTGACTCTGCAGAGAACCTCACAGACAGCCACAGCTTCAGAGACCACTTCCACAAAAATCACGAGAAGGATCCTTCCTGAGCCTCCCCGTGCTCCTGGGAACTCCTGACCTGGTTTCTGAGATGAGCCTGTCTTTGAAGGACATGGGATTTGTCTCTTTCCCTCAGCCCATTGCCAAGGCCCTGTCAGGTCTAGATCTCATCAT